ACCTCCACTTGCACTGCAGCAGGAGGAGAAACACACCTCCACTTGCACTGCAGCAGGAGGAGAGATGCACCTCCACTTGCACTGCAGCAGGAGGGGAGACCTTGTATTCCAGGGCTCCACTTCCTTCAAAGTGTGTGAAAACAGCCCTGTTATCAGGATGCAGCTCCAGGTGTTGGAGAAGTGGGAACATGCTCGAGGTCTTGCTTCCTAAACCCACACCGCTCAAGGTCCTGGTCTCCCTTATGTGCCTGTAAGGCAAGATCAAGACCCGGTCACTGGACTCTTCGAGCAACAGGTGTAGGTGCTGCAAACCATGTTCAGAAGTACTAGCAGACTTCAGCAAGGGGTTAGTTCACCGGAATGAATTCACTGATCCTCCCCTTAAGCCTGACTCTTGCAGCTCCCATACATCAGTGGGTCCATTCCAGTCCTCAGGCGGTCACTCACTGGGTTTTCTAGGCAACATTAAGGAAGGGTGGTCAGTTATCACACTCCACTCCATTCCGTGATGATTCCATGTCGGATCTTTTGCACAGCCAGTTTATTCACCGAAGTCGATGGCATCAGTGCTTGAGAAGAGTGAAAGAGCTGTTTGGGAATCCTGTTCTGGAACATCCAGCATCTCCTTGGTCTGAGTAACAAGTGGCTCTGCACCTGGGAGAAAGTTTGACCTGTTGCAATCGCGGAGGCGCCGGTCCAGAGCCACAGTCCAGCCCCCCGGGCAGTGCATAGAGAGGGGTGGTGAACCCGCGGGACTCCAGCCCACAGGGACCGCAGGGGGGAACCCCTCTCCCATTCTCCCCTTTAGGGGCACGCAGAGGGGCAATAGCCTGGCGTCGGGGTCTCTGAGGGTCCGGGGCAGTTCTGCAGCCGAGTGGGCAGAAGGGTGTCACAGTGTCTGCATCGTTAAGGCACTACTGCCGGAAGACCATAGTCTGATTCCCCTGCGGAAACAAGCTACTGCTTTTGCAGCTTCTGAAAGAAGGAATCTTGAAGTCTTTATTAAAAATATCACCATTTCTTTCCAAACGTCTATGAATTTGTATGCTTATTTCCTGTTAATTGTTAAAAAAATGTGCAATTAAAGTACTAGGTTTAATCATCTGCACTTAACCCTGGTTTTATTAGTGGTGTCCTGGCATGAGCTCTTTATCGGTTCACTGACACGTACATCTGCCCACTGGGCTGCAGTCCATGGAAATTCGCTGTAGCCACGGTCCTGAAGAGCTACAGTCCGGGTGTCTTCTGATTTTTGTCTTGACCAATTAGTTATTGATCACTAAGGCTTAATAGATCCATTTTTAGCATTAAAAAGTGTGGCTTAGCTGCAGGCCTGGTTATCATGATCAGGCAGGTTTATTGATCCCCATTAAATCGCCAATTTCATTGTGGTGAATCTAATGGGTTAATTAAACTAATTTAGAGACCGTGTAGGACTTAAATCCAGAGAACCAGAGTTCACTATTGAGCAGATCACTTCCTTTATGTCTCTAAAAACAAATGACCTTTAAGACTACCTGGACTGGGGTTCCCCATGACCAGGGCTGGTGACCCCTGGACTGACTGGACTGGGGTTCCCCAGGACCAGAGTTAGAGACCCCTGGACCAGGGCTGGAGAGGGCTAGAGTTGGTCTGGCACGGCCAGCGTCAGTCCTCAGGTATAGAATCTGTCCAGGAGCCCTGGAGGAAGATGGCCACACACAGAAGT